TCCAGGATGTCATGGGTTCAAATCCTGGCTGGGTCAAATAAGACTTCTTAATCATCTCTGGCTTGCGCATTCATGCAGCCTTTCTCACATGAATATATAAATATATGTACTTTATATTATATTTTTACTTTCATTTAAAATTTTACCAAATCAACATAACAAGTATTTAAAATTATATAAACTTCATCTAAAATATTGTATTGATTAGAATTAAAATACAGTAATCTATATTAGACTATAAACCAATAACACAAGAGAGAATAATTTACCCACCCAAATCGAGTCTAGTACCTTACTGATACACTATCTCTCTTTATCAGCCTGTGCCCACCACTTCTCTCTACCAGCAAACTTCACACTGGACTTGACCCAACATTTCACAACCTTCTGACAAATACTTGACAAATTCCTATGTTGCTGCTTTTTTTTTGGCTTGGTGTCATTCAGCCTCACATGATAACATTACAATGGCTGACATTACCAACACTACTTGCAACATTACCTGGCTGAGCAACACATGTGTGTGTGTGTAAAAACAAGAAACAAAAACAGTTGATCGACTGACAGTTGCGAGGCGGGTCGAAAGAGCCAGAGCTCAACCCCCACAAGCACAACTAGGTGAATACAACTAGGTGAAAACAACTAGGAGAATACATGCAACCTGTCTTCTTACTACACTTGCTACATTTCTTTTTTTTCCCTAATCAAAACCACTGTCAAATTTGCAGTGGTTTAGGGACAATAACACCACAATATTGATACATCCTATAAATAATGAACACTGGATCTAGTAGGTTAGGTGAATTAGCTACATTTTGATACTTTTAGGTTAAACCACTGCATTTGTATGGAGCGGAAATCAAGAGAACGGGCTGACATATGAGAGATATGCCAGAGGCTGCCTTAAGCACAGATCACAACAATAATACTATCGCCCACCACTGAATACTTTCGTCTTTAATTTACTTACTTACCATAATAACAAATTGCCTACGAACAATGCAATTGCAGTACTCTAACATGACTGCTGTTATACATTTATATTGCACATACAGAGCACCACTTGGTTTCCGAACCCCTTGGGGACGAGACCCGTCGGTTAACATGTAAGTTCGTATACGAGAAATAGAGGGGAAAAAATAAACTAGAAATGTAAAAAGAAATTTTTTCGAAAAAATTTACGAAAAAACTCTAGGGGAAAAAATCGACAGGTTCATAGCGTAAATGCGACTGTGTTTTGTTTGTACTCACCAATAAGTGAAGTCCTGATCCGCTTTATAAAAGTCCTTAATTGTTCCTAACTGATTATTAAGACGTCTGGCAAACATCCTCTGGATGTTTCCTGCCAGCCTGCAGGCACATCCTGCCTAAAATATACGATGATGTACTGTACATTTAAGAAACAAATCTGGGTCACAGGTCTGTGGAGTGTGGTTAGGCTTACAGAGTCAGCCGGTCCCTCCCCCACCACCGATACACCTCCCCCTCTCCCCCCACCCCAAACCCATACACACACACACACACTCAAAGGTCACGTGGTTCATGGTTCACTTCAACACCCATATATCGCTTCCTGCCTGCCTGCCTCCTTCCCAGCCTGCAAGCCTGCCTGCCTGCCTGCCTCCTTCCCAGCCTGCAAGCCTGCCTGCCTGCCTGCCTCCTTCCCAGCCTGCAAGCCTGCCTGCCTCCTTCCCAGCCTGCAAGCCTGCCTGCCTGCCTGCCTGCCTGCCTGCCTCCTTCCCAGCCTGCCTGCCTGCCTGCCTCCTTCCCAGCCTGCAAGCCTGCCTGCCTGCCTGCCTCCTTCCCAGCCTGCAAGCCTGCCTGCCTGCCTGCCTCCTTCCCAGCCTGCAAGCCTGCCTGCCTGCCTGCCTCCTTCCCAGCCTGCAAGCCTGCCTGCCTCCTTCCCAGCCTGCCTGCCTGCCTGCCTGCCTGCCTCCTTCCCAGCCTGCAAGCCTGCCTGCCTGCCTGCCTCCTTCCCAGCCTGCAAGCCTGCCTGCCTGCCTGCCTCCCTCCCAGCCAGCAAGCCTGCCTGCCTGCCTGCCTCCCTCCCAGCCTGCCTGCCTGCCTGCCTGCCTGCCTGCCTGCCTCCTTCCCAGCCTGCAGCCTGCCTGCCTGCCTGCCTCCCTCCCAGCCTGCAAGCCTGCCTGCCTGCCTGCCTCCTTCCCAGCCTGCAAGCCTGCCTGCCTGCCTGCCTCCTTCCCAGCCTGCAAGCCTGCCTGCCTGCCTGCCTCCTTCCCAGCCTGCAAGCCTGCCTGCCTGCCTGCCTGCCTGCCTCCTTCCCAGCCTGCAAGCCTGCCTGCCTGCCTCCTTCCCAGCCTGCAAGCCTGCCTGCCTGCCTGCCTCCTTCCCAGCCTGCAAGCCTGCCTGCCTGCCTGCCTGCCTCCTTCCCAGCCTGCCTGCCTGCCTGCCTCCTTCCCAGCCTGCCAGCCTGCTTCCTTTCCAGCCAGCCTGCCTCCCTCCCTGCCATCATGCTAACGGGTAGTGTGTGTTAGGCTTATCTTCGGGAATGAGCCGGTCTCGCCCCCACCACCAACAAACCACCCGCCCCCCTACATCCCATCTCTCAAGGTCACGCGGTTCAACCGCGTGACTACCACTCACTCCCTGCTGCGCCTGCCTGCCTGCCTGTGCCTGCCTGCCTGTGCCTGCCAGCCTGCCTTTCCCTCCCTAATTCTCACTACTTCCATCCCTTCCTGCCTACCTCCTAGCATCTCTCCCTACCTCCCCCTCCCTCTTAGCATCTCTCCCTACCTCCTAACATCTCTCCCTACCTCCCCCTCCCTCCTAGCATCTCTCTCTCCCCCTCTCTCACTGATTCTACCCCCCCCCCTCATTCATACTGCCTCCCACCTAAACTCCATCGTCCATCCACCCACCAGTCAGCCATCACTGATGCAATGCGTGCATTTGGAGCCAACATGGTGCACAGATGTTTCTTGATTGTGCAGATATGTAAAACAAAAGCACAGAATGAACATTCCAGCCTTATGGCAATTCAAAATAATAGGAATAATAGGCCGTGAATCTGTGAAGTCACAGCGGGCAAACTGGACCATCTCCCACCCACCACAACAAACCGGCGTGACGCTTGGCGGACCCCTTCCTACCCGAACTTTGTTCGGGTAGCATGACTCCCCAACCCCAATCGGGAAACTGGAAGTTTCGGATAACTAAAGTTCGGAAACCAAGTGGTGCTCTGTATATATAAAAAAAAAAAAAGGTACCATAATATACCTCTCTACACCAAGTGGGTACACATGAAAGTTTCAGAGAAAGGGGAATACTGTAGAGTACACATGTTCATACATGCATACACAACCACACACACATGTATGCATGCATCTCATACACAATTTTTGTCTTTAATAGTAGCACCAGTAATAGATCTCTACTTAACGCATCCTACTGCGTAATGTCTATTCTCTACACCAAACAGTATTTTTACTCTGGCAATCAGCATCACCCTACAAGTGATGTGTAACAATGGTTCTCTCTGTTGACGTCTAACGTCATGTAATGGCAAGACTAAAATGAGCATATCGTGTCAACTCTCCATCAACTGTCTTATGAAAAACATTTTTGTATTCTAATACCGTATTTACTAAGCAGCAGAATGCAAGTCAGGGAACAACGGTTAAAAATAGCAATAAAGTCCAGAAAGATATAAAATAAAAAGAGCTTCAAAAAGCATTAATTTATCTCTGTTAGACTTTTGCCATACCCTGTAATGAAGAGACCATTCCAATTTGCTGCAACAAATATTGTGTGAATAATTACAAGTTCTATACCTGTATTATTAACTTGATTTTCATAATACCGATCAAAATTGACTGTTCAAATGGCTGGACAGCTTGCTAGCCAACACTCTTATGAGTAGAATAACTTATTTCTAAAGGAGGCAAGCACAAGATCTAAGCTCTGATGATGCTCCCATTTGATGATACTAGTTCCTTGCTATTTTATTCAGTTTCTAACTATGCAGCAAGTCATCATCACATTTTAAAAACAGCTGACAGCATCTATTTATTTAGGTTACATTATTGCTCTACACTCAACAACAGGTTGATACAATCTATTAATATGCAACTGTTTCATAGCAATGCACATATAAACACCCTCTGAGTCTTTTATTTGAACTGGACTTGAGTTTTACATATATATATATACTCACATACTGAATTAATATAATATACACTGCCTCTTGTGCAAGACAATGTATATGTTCCCAGCTGTTGCTGCACTCAACACTTATGGACATAAAGCATGTAATCCCCACAGCTCAACAAATCCTGAAATCTAGTCTAATCTTAGGTTCTGAATGCACATGCACTCGAACATTGCTAGCAAGAATAAACACACATTTCCTCGAGACAGTCATTGAGTGTGAAACAATTCCAAGAGTATATTACAGGAGCAGCTGCTTTTTTGTACTGTGAAGGTATTGCTTCATTCACTATGGACCTACAGTCATCAGCCAAAATACATATACAGTATACAGTGGAACCTCTGCCCACTTTACAAAATTTTCAATTTACAAGCTCAATTTCTTAAAAAAAATCTGACTCGGTTTACGAGCTTTGCCTTGCTTGGCGAGTTTGTTGGTACACGTATGAGTCGACCGAGCACACGGTTCCTGGTGGCAAGGGCGAGGCCCACTTCAGTTTACCAATCTTTAGTAGTGATAATCAACTTAAATTAATTGTAAAGAATTTAATTGTTTTCTGTTTTTTTTGTTTCTGAACATAAAAGTAATTATTATATATCATGCCATGGGTTCCAAGAAAGTCAGTGGTAAGGTTCAACCTAAGAAAACAAATGCGAGGATGACAATAGAGGAAAAACGAGAGATCATTCACAGTAAGACAATGTCATATCTCACTACAGACAAGTGTTAAAACATAGGGAAAAACAAGTGTCTATAGACATAGTCTTAGTAAGACAAGCAAGCAGTGAGCCACAACCAGGTCCTAGTGGTATGCCTGCAAAACATAAGAGAGAGAGAAAGTACCCCAGAAATGTCATCACTGCCTGATGTTATAATGGAAAGGGACTTCCAAACATTAACACCTCTCCTCCTCCTCCCCTGCTCACCGTCTTCCATACGCCAACAAGAGTCATCAATAAAGCCAAGATAAAACTTGTACATAGTGTAGTACAAAATATTTGTAGTATTATGTATTGAAATGTATTTTTAAGTTAGTATTTTTGGAAGTGTGGAACAGATTAATTCGATTTACATTATTTATGGGAAAATTTGTTTCAGTTTACAAATTTTTGGTTTACGAACTGTCTCTGGAAACAGATTAAATTTGTAAACAGAGGTACCACTGTACTGTAATGCCAATGCTTTCTGAGGTCACATTATGTGAGATCTCTTCCTGCAACCAGACGTCACCATCGGCAGTATCATACCAGGTATCCTTGCCATTATTAATTCTAAAAAAATCCACATTTTCCAGAGTGGTTAGCATAACACACAGTGTTGTATTGATTTAAGCGCACACACACAGTCCATACATCAACTCTTCAGTTAAAATCAAATCTTTGTTTCAAACTCATGGAATCTTACATCATAAGATGTAAAATTCATCTTACATCTTATGTAAGATGAATAAGATCATCTTAGGTAAGATGTAAGAGATGGTGGTCATCTTTTGTCGCCTTCTGAAGTAAACAGAATGACACTCTACTCATAAACCCTTTTTCTAGGGAGGCAACAATTCAACTATTACTGTATCAGAGACTGAACAAATGTGTTTACATCATAAAGTCATGTTTGTTTTATACATACAGTACCAGTATTTCACTAAGAATCGTTAAACAAAACTGTCTGGTAGCCTTGCACCTCTTCATCCTTAGTTTAGACACTTTGAAAAAGCTGTCTCCATAAATCATCTCCTGATGAATAGCATCATTTCACAGACCAAAAGTTTACATGTTTACCTTGCTGGCAGAGAATGCACACTGCAGCATTAAGTGGAGTTAAATCTCTGAGGGGAGAAAACCATGAACTACTGAGGATGCATATTAACAGTCTGATCTGCATCAGAGATTCCCCTGAAATATAATACAAAGCTAAAGTGCCAGTATGTATGTTATCTCACAGCTTTCATTAATGTAACTGTGCCTTCTGGCACACCTCCAAATGTAGTTGAGCTAAGGGGATTAAACCCTGCCATCTATAACATTTACATCAAGCCCTGAGAACATTTCTTCCATTTTACCAACCTTTATCATCACAAGAAAAGCCTTCACAATCTGGAATAAGATCTAAGTACCACCACCTGCTTCATATTCTATGAATTGAATAGCCATCAACATAAAGCCCATTGCTTCAACTCCAGGATTCTGCTTTCACCCCATTGGCAGAAGTCATTGCAGAGGACACATCAGAAACCCTTTCATAGGGTTTACCCCTCACCCACACGCACAATACACTCTTAAAATGGAAGTTAAAATCTCATACTTTTGCCACAGGAGCCCAAGCAGTGTGATCATTAGAACTGTACCTTAGAAAATACCAACAAACTCTACAATAAATATACATTAAAAGAGTAGCTGATGTAATTCAATAGTCTTATTGACAAAATAGCAATGATTTATGCAGATGCCATCTAAAATTCAATGTTCCACAACAGCTTTCTTATCTTCATCATGCCCTGGCAAAAACATCAGCGGGAACATTCCAAGGAGGCAGCCTACAACCACACCAATACCTCGACCCTGTAAACCATATGCAAATTTTACACTAGATATTTTGCTCAATAGATAATGTCATAAATCAATCACTGAAGAGCAATCATTAAAAAAAAAAAACAGCGTTGAATGTAATGAAACGCCATTTTCTGGGTGAGCCCCAGAGGTTCCCGTGAGCTATCTGACTGAAATTAGTTTACTTGTATATTAGTCTGGGGATTTAGTCAACGAGTTCTGCTTACCGGGGAGCTTGAGCCAGAATCTAGCCCCCCCTCAGATCGGCACAGGAAGCAATGGCCTAAGGAACCCCCCCCCCCCCTCCCTTGTATTAGGGAGTATTCCATCATGTCTGCCATCGACTGGGGTTAGGTACCCAGAATGATAGGCATCCCAAAACAAACCCCACTTGGTAGGAAATTGCAAACCCAAGACTGAACAGAGAAACAGAACTCCCAAAAGAAAACAAGGAAACAAACAAACGTCATCAACCACCTCCGTGCAGCTCTTCTCCCCCATCCTCTTAATGGGCGGGGGAGGGGGGGGGGAGCTCCGGACCCCCACACCAGCTGCTCACTCTTCAATTCAGAGACTGAGCATCAAAAAATGAAACCGTTGACCAGATGGAGGGAGGGTGCCAGGGAGCCTTCGGGGCTCACCCAGAGGCTCCAAGGTAAAAATAGAAATTTTCCCGGAAATGCAGAAAATGGCATTTCATTACATTCAACTCTGGTTTTCTGTTGGGAGCCCCGGGGGGACGGCCACACCACGTGCCTCAAATCGAAGACAAGACAACTGGCTGCAACCGGCGGCCCAAGGCCACACAAGAATTCTGCTAGAATTTACCTACAGTACTTAAAATTATCAGTTAGATTAAGAACCTGCCCGAAACGCTGCGCGTACTAGTGGCTTTACAAGATTGTAAGTAATATGCTATGTATTCTCACAAACCCAATGTACCTTCTTGTATATAAAATAAATAAATAAATAAATAAATAAATAAAAGAACGACTTGGCCCCGGAACATTAAAAAAATAATGGCTGGCCAGGACCCAGTTCGACCTCCAAAACCCCCCGTGCCCAAATGTCAGACCAGAACATCTCCCCAAACACGGTAGCCAAAGCAGCACACTTACGAACATTATGGGCACGAGGGTAGACCGCAGGCTGGTTAGACTTAACCCTGTGGACAACCAGAGAGACCCCCCGAGCCCTGGAACAGGGAATGAGGGAAATTAACCCAAAGTGCATCAACGGCCACAGAAGCCGAGGCGCACAGGTAAGGGTTCTCCCCTCCCCCCTCCCACTCCCAGGGAGGAGAGGGTTGCTCGAACAAGCGGTACGGCAGCGAGGTGTGACGTTTGCTTGTTTCCTTGGGATTTGGGGGAGTTCTGCATCTCTGTTCGGTTTTCGGCTGCAGTTTTTGTACCAAGTGGGGTCTGTTTTGTCATGCCTACCTTTCTGGGTGCCTAATCCCAGTCGATGGCAGATTGGGAAAACCCCAACCACAGGGAAATTTTCCAGGGGCCATTGCTCCATGTGCCTCTCTGAGAGGGCCAAGTTCTGGCTCATGGTCCCTGGTAGGCTGAAATCCAGACTGATATATTAAACTAATGCCCTAGTCTAATATATCGCATATTAGCCCAATATTTCCTGGGAGCCGAAGGGGCTCCCCTCAGAATATATAAAATGGAAAAGCTTTTAAACAATTAGATATATATAAAATGGAAAGCATTTAAATAGATAGGGAATTTGTAATCCAATATGGCATACAAATTTCACAAATCAATAGAGTGTCTGTCTTTTAAACAATGCATCCACAGCATGACATAACTAAACCATGACTACATAAAATTTTAGGTAATGTCTTTTTTCTTAATTTGCACACAAAAATATTCCAAATACATGCAAAGACAGACGTGTTACAAATTTATGACTCGGAGAACAAAAGTACGTTCAAAACTGAAAGATTTGAAATACTGTACATTAAAGCATAAGCATATTACATTTAAACTCACAGCATTAGCAGACCATCTTGCGGACCATCTATCCAGCTGTTCTTGGCAAAGATCAGGGGCTCGAATACCGATCTTGACGGCGATGTTCTCAACGTACCAGGCAGAGCCTATGCCAGCAAGGTCACTGATGGTATTGCCAAGTGCTGCAGCTCCCATTGTACTTATGCCAAGTGCAGTCCCAATTGTCACATCAATATAATCACCCTAAAATTAACCATAAATTTGCAAAGAAACCATTAGTATAAAACCTAAGTTATATATGAATTTTAGCCATATACATTGGTCTACTAGAGTTACTAGATTTACAACTAAATGAGACTAAACAGACCTGCATGATAAACTGTAGTTTAATTTCATTTATTCTTAGTTAATGATGAGTGATATTAGGGGAATCAAGATTTCTAAGCTGTTTGAATCCATGAAAAACTATTAGCCTTAGGTAAAGCTTGGGCCATTCAGGAGAGAACTACTATATCCTTATTTAAAATACTCAAAACACATTTTTTAATTCAGCCATATTACAAAATACTTACAGCAACTATCATGATGAAGTTGTCGAGAAATCCAAAACCAATAAATGGTAGCGCATTATGAATAGCCACTGTAAATAGAAAAGACTGTTAGTCCAGAGTTTCCACAGGCCTACAGCTCCCCTACCACAACATGAACCCCACAGGCCTACAGCTCCCCTACCACAACATGAACCCCCAGGCCTACAGCTCCCCTACCACAACATGAACCCCCAGGCCTACAGCTCCCCTACCACAACATGAACCCCCAGGCCTACAGCTCCCCTACCACAACATGAACCCCCAGGCCTACAGCTCCCCTACCACAACATGAACCCCACAGGCCTACAGCTCCCCTACCACAACATGAACCCCCAGGCCTACAGCTCCCCTACCACAACATGAACCCCCAGGCCTACAGCTCCCCTACCACAACATGAACCCCCAGGCCTACAGCTCCTCTACCACAACATGAACCCCCAGGCCTACAGCTCCTATACCACAACTAACGTATATTGAGAAAACTCTACCCTGTATGCTTAAACCGATGTATAATATATTCACAACCAGAGGAATGCTTACACTGTCTCAGCTCAGCACCAGTTGGGGGTTTGGGTTTGGATTTCTCAGCTGTGGAAGAAATGAATAATTAAGCAAATACAGCCAATACTAATGTAATAACATCAACTCACTCATCATGCAAAAAGTAAACGAAAGTGACGGAGTTTCAGTCCACCCCGGATGATTACCAAGTCATACCAAGGAAGTCTCGGTATAAGGCAACAAGGGAAGGTAACGTGAAAAAAGCAAAGGTTAGAAACACAGCATAAGAACTAAAGGGCACTGTTTGGGTTGGGTTACTAATTTTCAGCCACGTTACAGTGATTTAGTCTCTGCAGTACTAATGTGTATGCACATGTATTATCTGCAGTACTAATGTGTATACACATGTATTCTCTGCAGTACTAATGTATATACACATGTATTCTCTGCAGTACTAATGTGTATACACATGTATTCTCTGCAGTACTAATGTGTATACACACGTATTCTCTGTTACTGTTACTAGTTACTGACGAGCCAGATGCAGGAAGTGTGAAATGTGAGGCAACAAGTTAGGTTGCCAGGTCTTCCGACCATATTGCGATGGTGGTGTTACTGCCACCTCAATGGTAGTTGGGATAACAAGCAGTTGCCAAGTTGGTAATTAGCACTAAGATACTTGATGATGTCTGGTTTAAATTTTTATTTGGAGAAAGTTTGTTGACTATTGTTTGTTCTTTTGTGTGACAGTGTATTGTTATCTCATGGGGGATGGAAATTTGGTTCCCCCCTACAGCTTCTGAAATCTCCCTTTCCCGGCTCCATTACTAGACTATGTGAAATATGACTGTGGTGAGTGAACAGATCATTAAAGCCTGGTAGGTAGAATGTGCCTCTGTGGACCCATATTGCTTACTTGTTCAAGAGAGCAACAGAGACAGCTTTTGCTAAGAAAAATATGACACTGAAGAATATCCAGTCTTAACAAATTTGTCAGGTAAAGCAAATTCACTTGCCAACAGTTCCAATTATATTTAACATTGTGTTATATTAAATGAAGCTGCAACTGTTCTTAAGTGATCACTATACAAGAAAATTCCTAGAGGGAATGGGCACTACCAATATTTTGCACGACAGTATCAGGAATGTAAAGAAAATATATTTTGCTATGATGGGGAAACCAGCATTGAATGTAATGAAACACATCTTTCTAGTGGGTCCTTGGTCGCTCTTTTGTGCTTGCTGCCTGGCAAGCTCCACCCAATTCAATCCACCCCAGGTGCTTGCAAGACATCCTTAAACTTACCAAGGACTAGAAACCAAAACAATGGTCCCCAGCTCTAAGAGGCCTAATTAGCAAATGACCCCACAGAACAAAATTACAGTTCACGATGGTTAACACTCATCTGGAAAACTAGGACACAAAGAGTCCTGGGACAGAAAGAGGAGCATAACAGCATGCGTCATAGATGCAAGCACCAGGCAATGTGACTAAGGTGTCAAGACTGGTGGAATGAGGGGAAATGTGCGCAGGTGGAACGAACGAGTACTGCTTCATGACCTTGTGGTTCGTGAATTTTGGGGTGGTCCCATTTTCTCTGCCTTGTTTAGTTTACCTTACTGTTTGTATAGTTTGGTCTGCTCACCTTTCTTCTGGCCTCTTCTTGATTAGGATGATCTAAGGTTGCTGGTTGCTGGCCTGGTTGATCAGTCCAGCAACCAGGAGGCCTGGTCGACGACCGGGCCGTGGGGACGCTAAGCCCCGGAAGCACCTCAAGGTAACCTCAAGGTAAGGTCCTTGCTTCTTGTGGCTCTTCGGAGGGGGACCAGATTTAGCCTCTGGTAGGCCTATATGACTTGCAAGGGTAGGTAGTGTGGATTGAATTAGATGGAGCTTTTCAACTAGAAAGCACCAAGGAACTACTAATAGGAGGCCTCTTAAGAAAACAAATCAAAACTAAAACTGATAATTAAAACTATTTCATAAGCATTTCATTTATTTGCAATTAATGTATGAACTAGGCAAAATAATTCAGTACAGTATAATAAATTAGATTTTGAAAATAAAATGTACTGTATCTGAAAACTATACATTACAGTTCATAATGTGAAATTAAACATTCTTGAGCAAATAATTGTTAGGAAATGTTCAAGTCTAATAAACACTGACCAACTTTCCTCCGAAGCCAATCTGCCGGTATCTCACAATATGTCCCTGTAGGATCTGGCCCAAGGGCGTGTAATGATGCAGGGCGACCAAAACGTGATCTCCATCTCCAAGATGCAAGCTTCTCTGTAACAAATAATTATAACAACATTAGCCAACAAAATTAAAGAACTAGTAATAAGATCAGTTTTGAAAGAAAATGACAAAGCAGTACAGATAAACATGGTCAAAACTAAAGAAGGAACAAAAAGAGTAAATTAATAATATGAATATACACACAAATTGTCTCATCATTTCTTCACTTTGTCCTCATTACATCTTTAAGTACTGTACTGTATAATTACATTGGCTTAACACTTTCTCCTGATAATGTCTTTAAACATTTCAAATTTTATTTTTAGTCTTTTGACAGATACAGGATCCCCCAAGTTTAGGGTGACAGACACCTACGAAGTGTAATGCTATGAGTAACACGATGGCAGGAGACTGGAGCAGAAAAGGGTATATCATTGGTCTCCAGAAGAGAAAATGAACTCTCAAGATCACCTGGAAAACACAACAAACCAACAACAAATGTCATGCTACATTGCATATAATAATTAGATCTTAATGCTCACTGGTGTTCATGCTATATGGCACTTAACTTTGAAGTGTCAGAGACTGGATATTCGATGTGGTCAGAAGTTGGCCTCCAAACATGCCTGGAAGCCAACCTTTAACCACCCGATGATTCAGCCCATCCTCCTGTTTTGTTAGTACTTATAGGAAGGATAAGGGCCATATTACATATACCAACATAAAATGCAATTAGAAAGTAGAAATTGGTACTATTGATTTTAGACAAACCAGAAAATGATTTTCTACTTATGTTGCACAAACTAAACTAACCTAACCAAACCTTCCAAAGCCTAATACACGCTCTCTTTTGCCTAATATAGTGCCTATGTGTGCTATACTAGGCCTAGAAATATTTTAGCTTTTAGCTTCATTGTTTTCAGACCCTATAAAGTGAATACAAAATTCTACTCATTGCTTAGTACATCAACATTTGTACTATGATGCACATAGTTACAAAAAGTAATATCTAATCAGAAGGATGGGTCTGATGATTATTGGTCTGCAATGAGCCTAATAGGCTCTGTATATTTAATTACTAAACTTATTTTTATTTTGTTTATTTATATACACAAGAGTTCTTACATTTTTGTAAACCCACTAGAACGAATAGCATTTTGGCCAGGTCCTTAATCTAATTTTCCCTAGAATATAACCCGTTAAATATTTTAACAACCAGGTACACATTAATTGCTGCGTGAACAGAGGGTACAGTTAAGGATTGGCATCCAGTCAATCCTTCCCGGCCAGGATTGACTGGGTGCCAATCCAGTCACCCAGGATACAAACCCAGGCTAGTAGTACAGTGGATATTCTTCCCTTGTATGCCTTCAGCCGAACAAGTCTATGTGGGTGGGGACGAGGACAGGTTGACGAGTTTAGCAGTTACCAGGGAGGATGTTCTTAAACAAATAGTAAAACTCAAACCAAACAAATCCCCAGGGCCGGATGAAGTGTTTGCTAGGGTGCTTAAAGAATGCAAAGAGGAGCTTTGTGACCCACTGTCAACCATATTTAATAAATCAATAGAGTCAGGCAGAGTGCCAGAGTTTTGGAAAGTTGCTAATGTGATACCAGTTTTTAAGAAAGGAGATAGATCACTTGCGTCTAACTATCGACCAATTAGCCTAACGTCTATTGTGGGAAAGTTACTCGAATCTATAATAGCAAATAAAATTCGTCTTCATCTTGAAAAACATAAATTAATAATTGAGTCGCAACATGGTTTTATAAATGGCCGTTCATGTTTAACAAATTTGTTATCTTTTTATTCTAGCATTGTTGAGGCAGTTGATAGTGGTAAGGATTGCGATGTTGTATACCTTGACTTTAGCAAAGCTTTTGATACAGTGCCACATGAAAGACTGATTAAAAAAATAGAGTCTCATGGTATTGGGGGTGCTATATTAAGCTGGATTAGGGCATGGCTATACCAAAGGAAACAGAGAGTTAGTATAAATGGAATCAAGTCAGAGTGGGAAAATGTTGTAAGTGGAGTGCCTCAAGGCTCTGTCCTGGGACCTCTGTTGTTTATAATATATATAAATGATTTAGATTCAGGTTTGAGTAGCAACATTTGCAAATTTGCCGATGATACGAAAATCGGTAGGGAAATTAATTCGGAGGAGGACTCACTATCACTTCAAGTTGATCTAGATAGGGTTTTGAAATGGTCAAAGGATTGGCAGATGCAGTTTAATGCTGATAAATGTAAAGTTCTGAGGTTAGGTAATGATGATAGAGTTACAAGATACGAGCTAGATGGTGTTGTGATTGCGAAGTCGGATTGCGAAAGGGATCTGGGAGTTATGATTAGTAAGAATTTAAAACAAAAGGATCAATGCATAAATGTTCGTAATAAGGCAAATCGGACACTTGGATTTATTAATCGCAGCGTTAGTAACAAGACACCTGGTGTGGTTCTCAAGCTATATCTTGCTCTAGTTAGGCCCCATTTAGATTATGCAGTTCAGTTTTGGTCGCCATATTATAGAATGGATATAAATTCACTTGAACGTGTCCAGCGTAGGATGACTAAGTTAATTCCCCAAATTAGAAATCTTTCATATGAAGAAAGATTAACAAAGCTTAAGTTGCATTCACTGGAAAGGCGAAGAGTTAGGGGTGACATGATAGAGGTTTACAAGTGGATGAATGGACATAACCGGGGGGATATTAATAGGGTATTAAAAGTATCAACACAGGACAGAACACGAAACAATGGATATAAATTGGATAAGTTTAGATTTAGGAAAGACTTGGGTAAATACTGGTTCAGTAACAGGGTTGTTGATTTGTGGAACCAATTGCCGCGTAACATTGTGGAGGTGGGGTCCCTCGATTGTTTCAAGCACGGGTTGGACAAGTATATGAGTGGGATTGGGTGGTTATAGAATAGGAGCTGCCTGGTATGGGCCAATAGGCCTTCTGCAGTTACCTTTGTTCTTATGTTCTTATGTTCTTATGTTCTTATGTTCCCAGGTTGATGATTGATGAAGATTAAGCCATCCAAGAGGTGGCACGGGCATGAATAACCCATAAGAATTCTTCCCAGATTTCGACCCTATATAATTGGCCTTGTAAAGTTTAAGGAGAGGTGACATAGCATGGTAGTCACTGCAATCATAATCCATTATTATATCACCCATTACTGGAGACATGTCATCTCTCAAGAATAGCACACTTACTGTCCATATTCTGGTGGTGGCTGCCTAGAATGAGCCAATGGGCTCTGTGCTGTTTCATTTATTGTGTGGTAATAATAACAGTATTCTCACAATGTTCAATAATAATTCACCAGGTTGGTTTGGGCAAAATAAATGAGTAACAATGCTGATACAAATAATTTCCTTGCAATGAATTATACAGGAATATATAATTAGCTTTAAACCCGGAAAATAGTGGTCATGAAATAATCACGTTGTGAAGCAGGGCAGCCTGATCCCATTTCAGATTTATTTATTTATTTATATATATACACAAGAAGGTACATTGGGACTGTGAGGATACATAGCATAGTAATTATATTCTTGTAAAGCCACTAGTACGCGCAGCGTTTCGGGCAGGTCCTTAATCTGAGAAACTTATAAGTAGGTAACACATACCTTCTGCTTTCTTCTTAACCTCGACAGCTTGGACCTGATGGATCTGAGTCATGAGTGCCGCCCTCTGGTCGACACTCAGCGACGCCACCAGCCGTCTCATGTCGTCCTCCGTCATCTCAGATGTCGCTGCCCCTATCCCGACGACTCCATCCACCGTCGACACCGGTCCCGTCACCCTCTCTCCATCGCCCTCCTGCTTCGCCTTCCCACCAGCTTCCTCGCCTCTCACCACCGACGTGCCCAGTGCCCGCGTGTGCCTGGAGTGTCCCGGGGCACCACGGGCCAGCTTCGGGCACGCATGTGTCCACAGGAGGCGAGGAAGGGCAGCTGGAGGCCTTCCCGTCAACATTGTAAACAAACCAGCAGCCGACGCAGCTGCCCAGAGACCTTCCTTCTCATCCGCCCAGCCGCTCTTCCCTTTCCCCACCCTGCGCGCTCTTCCTTCCCATCCCCCGCAGTACCTTGACCTGACAACAACTGATATTTATTTATTTATTTATTTATTTATTTATTTATTTATATATATACAAGAAGGTACATTGGGTTAGAGAGAATACATAGCATAGTATTTACAATCTTGTAAAGCTACTAGTACGCGCAGCGTTTCGGGCAGGTCCATAATCTAAGAAACTTAAAAGTAGGATAAAAATGATAACAGTTACATAGCATGAAAAAAAATAAAAGATGAGAGAAAAATTGTAGGTATAATAAAGCACATAGGTAGCTCAGAATGATTTAAATTTATATATGCAAGAAGTTACATTGGGTTTATGAGAGTACATAGCATGATGTGTTTACATTCTTGTAAAGCCACTAGTACGCACAGCGTTTCGGGCAGCCAATTAAAAAAACTATAAATTATGTGAGAATTCTTTAAAGAATTTGAATCATTGATTAATGAAGATTAAGCCACCCAAAAGGTGGCACGGGCATGAATAGCCCGTAAGTGGTGGCCCTCTTGAGCCATTACCAGTATCATTAGCTGATACTGGAGATCTGTGGAGATGCGACTGCACCCTACGAAGAGGTCGTGACCTCTGGTGAGGTGGATTGATTGATTAAGATTAAGCCACCTAAAAGGTGGCACGGGCAAGAATAACCCGTAAGTGGTGGCCCTTTTGAGCCATTACCAGTATCATTAGCTGATACTGGAGATCTGTGGAGGTGCGACTGCACCCTGCGTGACGGGAGATGTCTCCCCCGTCGGTGAGGTGGACGCTGGCAAGCCCTTTTATATCGGGCATGACGTCAGAGATGGCGCGAATTCTGTAGGTAACTATCGGCCGGCAAGAGAATGGTCGCTAGCGAGTGGCGTCTGGTCCCCTTGCCGAAACAGCAGGCCTGTGTCTCGGATACTGGAGGGTGGAGGGGGTGGTGCTTGTCTAGACACCAATACGTTTGAGCATGTATTGTTGCTGTCGAAGCATGCAGATACGTTGGTGAATAGGCGGTAAAGTGAACATGCGGTGAAGGAACAGGCAGGCCCTCTACTAGGCAGAGGATTACTGTAACAATGTCAATAAGCTCAAGCTCTTAAGGGGCCAAGTGAAGATGTAGTCCAGGATTATGATCTCCCTCTGGCTTGAAGTCAGTGTTAAATTACTCATTCCATGTAAACTTGATCTAAAGTAAGAAATATCCTTTCCTAAATGTACCAACATATGCTCCCAAATTGAGTGTAAATTGTGTATTTGAACCAGTTTAATTTTTCAAGCCATTTTGTTAACCTTCTGTAGGATACATTTCTGTATGGCAATACCTATTATGTGTCAGCCTTCAAATTGTAGACGGTTAGTGCTTTCACCAATTACCGGTGAAAGCAGCCAACTGGTCTGTCAACTCCGCTTGGCAGACCACTTGATGAAGAGCTAGCTACCAGGATCCCAGACGCTGCCTTAATCGACTTAGATACGACATGGTGTAATATCTAGACCTTTAGTCTTAACTACACAGTCACCACATGTCCCACTGTCTACATGTTGATAAGATTAATTATCCAGCCGAGAGTTCGACCCATACAGTTTCATCTGTTTCTGACCCTCAGAGCAAAAGTTGCCTCATGTTCTTGATGCAGGTGTTGACATTCACAGAATCTATAAGTCCACTCCCAAGTGCATTTCGCAGTTATTGTTCTGCCTCTGTTTGGCCAAGCAAGAGAATCCTGGACGAATGGGTTATCCTGTTTGTTGCCTCCCCTAGCTCCCGGTACCTCTACCTCGTATGGTCCAATATTGCTGTACAGTGCAGTGTATATACTTATTTCAACTTCTGTACTGTATCTTAACCATCTGCCAGTGTTGACCAGACCACACACTAGAAGGTGAAGGGACGACGACGTTTCGGTCCGTCCTGGACCATTCTCAAGTCGATTGTGATGAGGAAGTGTGGCTGTACAAGAATGTAACAACTCTTGTATATATCTCAAAAAAAAAAAAAAGTAGAATTTATCCCGTCGTCGTCCCTTCACCTTCTAGTGTGTGGTCTGGTCAACATACTTTAGCCACGTTATTGTGACTCATCGCCTGCATCTGCCAGTGTGGAAACTCGTGATATTTATTTCTAGTTTACAGTGCATGTTATGTAATCAATATAAAATAAACAATATCAATCAATCACTTGAGACATTGTGTGACCCCAACAGCATATGTGTGTCATATCTTAAACAACACAATGATGTATTACATATCTTTGCTTACATTAATGACTTTATACAAAAAGATAAATTCTGTTCAAACCATCTGTAGTATTTAGAAATAAATTATTATTAATAATATTATTGTCCAAAGAAATCACATTAATGTGACGTATTGATGAGAAAATTAGTTTGACCTATGAGAAGGATTCGAACCCGTGTACTACCAAACACACGCCTTAAATAAGAGTAACCAGAATGCCGATTTCAATTCTTATATCTCCAACTATTTATCTCATGGATACATTACATTAATGTGATTTCTTTGTGCATTTGAAGTTACCACAGAGTGGAAGAACTCTTGTACCACACCACAGTGTACGAGGGTAAGGTTTAGACCCTTGAGTTAGTGTCAGTTCGATACCTCGAGACACCTTGTCGACTCAATGGAGACTCAAGGTACATTACTCAGGCATATCATAGTCCAGTGATTTAAGGTGCCTGCGTGTACCCACGGGGGCTCCAACTGATTTGATCATAATTATTATTATTATTGAACTCCTGCAAATAATGCATACAACATTTGGTGCAAATAGGGTTTTGAAAATATTGGCTCTAGTAATCAGTTCATTGTTGATATCATAGTAATCAGCTCATTGTTGACGTCATAAGTACTCGAGAGGAAGCACCAAGCCAGGAGGAGACTGTGTAGCCCTCGTCAGTGTCTCAGGATATGTCAAGAGGCTACATATCACTGACGACGCCAATATAAGAACAAAAGCACATAAGGAGAGCGCTGTCGAAGGTATCGGATTTACTAAGTATAATATCTAGAGACAACTGACTGATGGACATTAATATAAGAGACATAAGATCGTTGGTGATGTCAGTAGTTCCCAATTGGATTATACATTGTAGCCTCGTCAATTATCAGTTGGTTGATAATTTTGGCGATTAAAAGCATTTTGTTAATATCAGTGATCAGCTGGCTGCCTGAGGACTGAACTCGGATACCTCAGGGTTGGGCATGGGCTCCTGGCGTCTGGATATGGGCTCCTGGCGTCTGGATATGGGCTCCTGGCGTCTGGATATGGGCTCCTGGCGTCTGGATATGGGTTCCTGGCGTCTGGATATGGGCTCCTGGCGTCTGGATATGGGCTCCTGGCGTCTGGATATGGGCTCCTGGCGTCTGGATATGGGCACCTGGCGCCTGAATATGGGCACTTGGTGTCTGGACATGGTCATCTTACCTCTGGACACGGACTTTTGAGAGCTGGACGCGGTTACCTGAGGTCTAGACAGGGATTCCTGAGGGCTGGAGACGGACACCTGGGGGCTCAACACGGACCCCAAAGGAGTGGACATAGGCACCTGAGGGCTGGATACGGTCCCTAGAGGAGTAGATACGTGCTTCTGAGGGCTGGATACGGTCCCTAGAGGAGTAGACACAGGCTTCTGAGGGCTGGATACGGTCCCTAGAGGAGTAGATACGTGCTTCTGAGGGCTGGATACGGTCCCTAGAGGAGTGGATACGTGCTTCTGAGGGCTGGATATGGTCCCTAGAGGAGTGGATACGTGCTTCTGAGGGCTGGATACGGTCTCTAGAGGAGTGGATACGTGCTTCTGAGGGCTGGATAGGGTCTCTAGAGGAGTGGATATGTGCTTCTGAGGGCTGGATACGGTCCCTAGAAGAGTGGACACAGGCACCTGAGGGCTGGATACGGTCCCTAGAGAAGTAGATACGTGCTTCTGTGGGCTGGATACGGTCCCTAGAGAAGTGGACACAGGCTTCTGAGGGCTGGACACGGTCCCCAGAGGGGTGGTAACAGGCTTCTGAGGGCTGGACACGGTCCCCAGAGGGGTGGTAACAGGCTTCTGAGGGCTGGACAGGGGCCCCAGAGGGGTGGTAACAGGCTTCTGAGGGCTGGACAGGGGCCCCAGAGGGGTGGTAACAGGCTTCTGAGGGCTGGACACGGTCCCCAGAGGGGTGGTAATAGGCTTCTGAGGGCTGGATACGGACCCCAGATGGATGGTAACAGGCTTCTGAGGGCTATGCACATGCTTCAGAGGGGTGGACGCGTTTGGCAGGCTCTGTTGTTTTATGTCATCGTGAAGGGAAGACAGGGAGAGGCCGGCCCCTGCAACACAAAGGGACGTGTATACTACTGCAGCACGTCACGGCGTGGAGGGACAAGGCATAACATAGATGTTCCACAATGAAGGCATTGTAGAGGTGGGTGTGTGGAGAGGATATACCCTGAACCCGACGGCAGCGGGGAGTTACACAGAAGTACAAACAATCGGAACCGGAGGATGTGAAGATAGTTGAGGTAAGTCAAGGGTATAAACAGGGGATTAGAGACGACTAACAAAAATGAGGAATATCACAGTAGCTGAGAGCCACAGAGAGTACATTAAGTACCAAGTAACTTCACAGTACCAAGAGAGATTGCATTAACATACAGATGAGAAACGGCAGGATGATTTAGATTAAATGAGTAGAATTCTTTCAAGTAATTACTTGACGGAATGGCAGAACTCGAAGAGAACTAGAAACCTTGGGGGAAAAAAATGATGAAAGTCAAGCCAAGGATGTAGTTATTAATGACATCGGGAGAGACAAAAACCTCATGTATAATACAGTAGACGGTGTGACCCCTGACAGTGGGAACATTTGGGCTCAGGCAGACACTAAAATGCATCGTGGACTTTGTCCTGCCAATAGTCTCCTTTAGTCTCCCCCAAATAGTCTGTTCTTTCCTGTCTTGAGAGACATGAAAGAGCAATTATGCAGGATAATAACTGACTGAAATCAAATAATTTTCCTGCCCGAAACGCTTTGCGTAATAGTGGCTTAAGCATTGTATGTACTAGCTCTATCTATAAATCTATCCATTTTTGTAAAATCTCTTGTATGTATGTACTTTACCTGAATAAACATTTATTATTATATTATTTATTTATAAATAACCAACTGATAAAAGGAAGGAAAGTAACAATGTTCCGGACCTAGCTGGTCTCAAGTAACAATATTGTTAATTTCCTTTTTATTCATTAGTGTGGGTTGGTTGATGTTAAGGGCAGTCTAAAAGAGACAGCACTTGTTATTCAAGGTCTCCCGAACCTGTAAATGTTAACACGTAGTTTAAAATCCTGCTGGAACAAACCTCAGTCACAATGGAGGCTCCTTAGACAAGTCGCCGGCTTTTGGTTCCCTATAAAAGCCACTAGGCAGACAAGTGGCTTTCAGATAAATAGAGAAAAACAGCCATACACATTCATGGATTATTAGATGTATGTGAGGAAATGTACATACTAGGGTCATACACCACAGCACAGAAAACCGAATATTTAGACCACTAAAGTTGGTATTTAATAATTCATTTTGTCAGGGGACAGGCAGCCAATATATATATGTACATGTACCATGACAATGAGACGATACCATGACAAGGAGACAATACCATGACAAGGAAACAACACGGATTATTAATGTTGATAAGTTGTGTCCTGACCTGGTGAGTGGGAGGCAGCGAGGAGCCTGAAGAAAGTGTGTGTGTGGAGACTACCACGGGGCCCACACCGCCCCTGGGCCAGCTCTCCCACCGTCCAAGCCACCGCCTGCGCCACCTTGGCCAGCAGCCCCAGGTCCCCCATGTCCTTCAAGAGCTGGGGACCATCACAGGCTCCGTGGTAGCACTCTTGCATCTTTCCCCTGAAGGGTCCTGTGGGGCGGGACATACAAGTGGATTACCTCTCGTACTTCTCAAAGAAATTTCAAGAACGTAAAATATTCATAAGAAACTATTAAGCCTGTTTAATGGAATCGAATCCTCATTCGTAGACTTCTCAGGTTGGAGTTCAGTCCGGAGTGTGTGTGTACAAGAGGAGGCCAGAAATACGGGTTCGATACCATTAAATGTGAAATTATTATTATTATTATTATTATTATTATTATTATTATTATTATTATTATAACCTGATTATTATAACATTGATAACAGTATCAATAAATATTTTGTCATATAGAAAGAAGGAAGGAAGGAATGGTGCCTAAGCGTCCAAGTAGTTGGGCACCATTCCTTCCTACCGTCCCATCCCAAATCCTCATCCTGATCCCTTCCAAGTGCTAGTGTTGTAATAGCTTGGTGCTTTCTCCTGATCGTTCTCTTCCCTTACTATAGTGCTTCCTATGTACGTTCCTCAAGTTGGCAATCAGTAGAAAAAAGAAATATTAGTAAATATGTCGTCAAGAAGATGGTTAACTGTTTCCGAAGCGTATAATAATTAACTGTAAAAATCTATTCAAAGTATGGAATGTCTTCCAATAAAGAGAAAAATTGCCATGGATATGCAGGCGATGAGTCACAATAACGTGGCTAAAGTATGTTGACCAGACCACACACTAGAAGGTGAAGGGACGACGACGTTTCGGTCCGTCCTGGACCATTCTCAAGTCGATTCATATAGAAAGAAAGAATAGAAACATCGTCGTCCCTTCACCTTCTAGTGTGTGGTCTGCTCAACATCAACTTGCCATGGATATTTTGTGTTAAGGTAAGTGCTGACCAGTGTCGGTGACGAGGACAGCGGGGATGGTGGTGGAGGACGTCGTGTGGTTGGAGTACCAGAACCGGATGTGGTCAGACCGAATGAAGTCGAAATGCTTGTGAAGGACCTCCGTACTGGGCAGGTCTGGACCCAACTCCTGCAGTGGCATCAGCTCTAGCCTGTAGTGTTGCTGGCCTAGAGTCAGGTACCGCTCTGCTAGCCTGTGGTGTGGGGCATGTGGGTTAATGCTCACGCTTCATGTACTCACATATATTTGGGATTACTTCTGGCAAAGGGCACTTTAAGCGTTACAAGGGAAGACACCAAGTAAAGTTACCTTATACATACAAAAGTTACCAGTTAATTTAATACCTCCTCCCTCTCAATCCGAGAGTTCGCATGTCAATTTATCTTTTTTACATACAAGAAGGTACAATGGGTTGTAAAATTATATATTTTGGTGATGTACATATTTTGATGAAGGTGTAGTAAAGTGTTACATAGAGGTGAAGTACCAACCTGTTGGCGAGGTAAGACTCCACTTGGGATCGGTAGATAACAGCGGCGAAGTCGCCAGAATAGTTGCGGCCTTTCAGACTCTTCTCGAGTTCAGGTATGAGTTCGTACCAGGCCGGGGAGAAGACCTGTTGTAGAGGCAAGAAAGGAGCAGGTTAGGGAGAGGCATGATCACCACATACAAAATTCTCAGGGGAATTGACAGGGCCGATAAACACAGATTATTTACCACGGGTGGTACACGAACAAGGGGACACAGGTGGAAACTGAGCATCCAAATCATCCACAGAGACATTAGAAAGAATTTCAGTGTCAGAGTAGTTAATAAATGGAATGCATTAAGTAGTGATGTGGTGGAGGCTGACTCCATACACAGTTTTAAATGTAGATATGATAGAGCCCAGTAGGCTCAGGAATCTGTACACCAGTTGATTAATAGTCGAGAGGCGGGACCAAAGAGCCAAAGCTCAACTCCCTCAAGCACAACTAGTTGACTACACACACACATCAGAACGAGATGCCACAGATGGAAAACAGAGTCAGATGAGCCACAGGTAAATAAGGAAACATTTGTTTAGAACAAGAGAAGTAAGCTGATGGAGTTAGCCAGAAAGAAAGGTAGCTACAACTACACACACACACACACACACACACACACACACACACACACACACACACACACACACACACACACACACACACACACAGGTAAACAAATGCTATCAACCAAAACTGCCATTACTAGTCAATCATCAACCCTTCAAATGTTGTTCAGACAACCATAGTCACTTACTGACCCATCAAATGAACTCCCTAAGACCCGGACATAGTTAAATTACAAAGTAAATTTTGTATGTACACCGGGAACTGAAATGAACATGTCTGCGTCCACCCTTCCCTCCCCGCCTTGCTCCGGCAGCATCAGGTCGGGTGACGGCCATAAGGCCTATCAACCTCTGGACGGTTATTATACCAACTACAAGCGCTTACTGACCGATCAGAAAGTATACCTTAGTCCTGAACATTGTTTAATCTACTCTACACACGACCATCATCACTGTAACCACCTTCACTACACACTGTCTGCATCTCTGTTCCTTGGCAACTTGCCGCCAAGTGGAGCACTAAGATTCATCCATCTCGTATGCAGGGAGGGAGGGAATTATCAGGGTAATATCCTGACGCCTTGGAAGGGGTCAGGATAAGGATTTGGGATGGGACGGGGGAAAGGAATGGTGTCCAGCCAATTGGACGGTCGGGGATTGAACGCCTCGTCACAGAAAGATCTGGAGATCGAATTGGCATGTTGACCCGGAAGACTGACCTGGGAGTATGGTCGGGGGTCCCAGTTGGCGACACAGTCGAGGACGAAGGCTCCAGTGAGGCGGGTGATACCGAACTGCTCCATCACTGCTCTGCCCAGGTAGTCCTTCACGAACATGGCTGAGCCTTGTGTACCTGGAGTCGAAGACGCTCGAGTTACCAGACACTCGTGGGGAACCTGTCTGTCACACATGGCACTAGTGAGGCACCGTCACACATGGCATTAGTGGGGAAACGTCGTGAAAATGATGTGGGGACATGTATATGTAGAGATATTTGGCATATACAGTACTGGGATTCATATTTAGAAGCGTTAGTAAAATTACCTTCTGATATTATTATTCAGCATTATCCTATCCTTGTCAGCATTCATACAGACGTGTGCCTTTTCGGGAAACGTATACGTCTCCAGGAAATTTTCTGGAAACCCTCTAAATCTCCCATTTTCCTGGAAAGCCTCAAAGCCTTTTTCCCAGCTGGAAAATTGGGTCCTTAGCCACCTACCTCTTCTCAGTGGACTCACAAAAGTACAATATTATCTTCAACTACGATTGCACTCATCCATAGCTTCCCAAGTGTGGCCAACAGCATCCGGAAGAAGGCTCTACCGTCAACAAGTCCTCACCTACCAACGTCCCAACACTTCCCCTTACCAACCTATTTCCTCCAGGTCGAAGGCGACGAAGATGATGGAATGGTCGAAGGCGCAGCCGCTGGAGGTCAGGATGCGAGCGGCCTCCACCAGGGCGGCCAGGCCAGACCCGTTGTCGACCAGACCGGGTGTGCCAGCCACTGTGTCCAGGTGGGCACCCATCACCAGGGGCGCGTCCTCCGGAGTCCCCCACAGGCGTCCTACAAGCACCCCGATGATGTTCCTCCCTTCCAGAGCCTCGTCGAACTGGAAATGGCGGGAGAGGGAGAATATATGTGGGTTCAAATCCCACTGCATGACCATTATGGTACTAGATTCTGTTGTGGAATACAGGAAGAGGCTCAGAGCGCCCGACCTGCGCAGAGTGGGGCTATAGTGGATAGAGATAGTGGCCCTCAGGTACACTCAGATATGGCTGAATGTTGGAATTGCTAAAATTATGTATATAATGACAGACTTTCATTAAGCTATGAGGATCACCCTCGGAGGTCCGTGACTATTACTGTCAGCTACTTAACATGGCATCAAAAGACTAAGGCAAACTTACCCTGAACTTTACACTAAAGTATTCCAAACTTTCCTCACCAAAAGTAAAGATACATCTTGAGGTTATCTTGAGATGATTTCGGGGCTTTAGTGTCCCCGCGGCCCGGTCCTCGACCAGGCCTCCACCCCCAGGAAGCAGCCCGTGACAGCTGACTAACTCCCGGGTACCTATTTACTGCTAGGTAACAGGGGCATTCAGGGTGAAGAAACTTTGCCCTTTGTTTCTGCCTCGTGCGGGAATCGAACCCGCGCCACAGAATTACGAGTCCTGCGCGCTATCCACCAGGTTACGAGGCCCCGTACATACAAAATATACATACAAAAAAGTAGATAACTAAAGCTACAATTGATCTCAGAATGCATGAACTCGACAACCTTTTGTCTAACCATTTGAACTCGTTGGTAGTAATTTACTCTTTACTGACTGTAGGATGGGTTTGGGCTCCACTACCGCCCACAGGATGGGTATAGGCTCCACTACCGCCAACAGGATGGGTATGGGCTCCACTACCGCCCACAGGATGGGTATAGGCTCCACTACCGCCAACAGGATGGGTATGGGCTCCACTACCGCCAACAGGATGGGTATGGGCTCAACTACCGCCCACAGGATGGGTATGGGCTCCACTACCGCCCACAGGATGGGTATAGGCTCCACTACCGCCAACAGGATGGGTATGGGCTCCACTACCGCCCACAGGATGGGTATAGGCTCCACTACCGCCCACAGGATGGGTATAGGCTCCACTACCGCCAACAGGATGGGTATGGGCTCCACTACCGCCAACAGGATGGGTATAGGCTCCACTACCGCCCACAGGATGGGTATAGGCTCCACTACCGCCCACAGGATGGGTATAGGCTCCACTACCGCCAACAGGATGGGTATGGGGTCCACTACCGCCAACAGGATGGGTATGGGCTCCACTACCGCCCACAGGATGGGTATAGGCTCCACTACCGCCCACAGGATGGGTATAGGCTCCACTACCGCCCACAGGATGGGTATAGGCTCCACTACCGCCAACAGGATGGGTATGGGGTCCACTACCGCCAACAGGATGGGTATGGGCTCCACTACCGCCCACAGGATGGGTATAGGCTCCACTACCGCCCACAGGATGGGTATAGGCTCCACTACCGCCCACAGGATGGGTATAGGCTCCACTACCGCCAACAGGATGGGTATAGGCTCCACTACCGCCCACAGGATGGGTATAGGCTCCACTACCGCCAACAGGATGGGTATAGGCTCCACTACCGCCCACAGGATGGGTATGGGGTTCACTACCGCCCACAGGATGGGTATAGGCTCCACTACCGCCCACAGGATGGGTATAGGCTCCACTACCGCCAACAGGATGGGTATAGGCTCCACTACCGCCCACAGGATGGGTATAGGCTCCACTACCGCCAACAGGATGGGTATGGGGTCCACTACTACTCACAGGATGGGTATGGGGTCCACTACCACTCACAGGATGGGTATGGGGTTCACTACCACTCACAGGATGAGTATGGGGTGCATAACAAATGGACTAACCTAAAGGAGGGTTTAAGACTATGTGGTTAAGTTAGATTAAGTTAAGCTAGGTTAGGTTAGGGTCCGTATGCGATGACGTAGACAGGTGCAACATTACACAGGTGCTAGAGCCTACTCGCCTCACCCAGACATAGTACTCGGCAGCAGAGAACACGTGCTCCACCACCATCAGTCCGTAAGAGTCAAACTTCTTTGTGACGTAGAGCATAGCCGCCATCTTGTCCAGGGGAGCCGTCTCTGTTGGAGGGCGGCGGAGGTAATATTTACAGTCTTCAAGAAATATATAAATGTTTATAATGAGAAAATCAGTGTGAGCTATAAGGAGGATTCGAACCCGCTTACTTGGTACTCCCAAGCTAGCACCCTAGACCACTACGCACTACACTACAGACCACTACATGGTCGAAAGCAGTACAACCTGAGATTCCACTGAATCCTCTAGGATTCAGTGGAACACCACTGAATTTACATAAATGTCCTCAGGTAAATTCAGGCAAATATTCAGGTAGACAAACCGTGATTTCTTGTGACGGAGAAGACAGAGTTGAGCATCTTCTTGAGACTGTCCTGGTTCACCTGCATGGTGCTGAGGAGGTTGTCAGCGCCGGCAGAGTCATGGCTCAACCCCCTACCGCTGACTTTACCCTTCTCCACCTCCTCCTCCAGGGCCTCCACCCTCGAGGTCAACTCCTGCAGGTGACGCTCCACCTCCGGCCGCCTCATCCCAGCGTCCTCCAGGGCCTCTATCTATGGAGGGAAGAGAGAAGGCAGATGAGGAGTAACAGGTGGAGCAGGGCGTGTCTCTCATGTCAACAAGACGCCGTTGCCGCGGGTGCCACACAAGCATGGCACTGGCATGTGTCACCAGGAATCCCCAGGAATCCCCAGAAACCCCCAAGAATCCCCAGGCGCGAGGGTGTGCTGCACCCTGCACATATTAGATGGCCTCAGATGCTAGCATATTGGAAATAGTTGTAACTAAACTGTTTTGAGACATTCAGGGGGCCCTAAGACAGCGTATAGTAGGCCTAGGATTCCTTCTTTAGGCCTAGAACAGGCTATAGATTGTGTAGTTACTGTTCCAGTTCTTGGCCTGGTATTTTTAATGTATGTGACGCAAACAACACGGAGATATCGATAGGGGACCAGAATCACTGGTAGCCGCATCAAGGAGCCTGGGGAGTGATCTTACCTTAGGGGGCGACAGCGGGGCATCAGGGAGCCAGCTACGGGCCCTTAACGCGTACATCAACTCCAGGGCCTCGTCGAAGTCCTCGTCAGTAGGTGCCAGTGTCAGGCCTGGCACCTCGCCCGTCAGGACAGCTCGCACCACACTCAGACTCTCCTCGCTGATGTTGGGTAGTCGGGCCCTTAGCTCCTCCACACCCAGCAGGGAGGGCCCCTGCTCCTCCACACCCAGCAGGGAGGGCCCCTGCTCCTCCACACCCAGCAGGGAGGGCCCCTGCTCCTGCATACCCAGCAGGGAGGGCCCCTGCTCCTTCACACCAAGCAGGGAGGGGCCCTGCTCCTTCACACCCAGCAGGGAGGGCCCCTGCTCCTCCACACCCAGCAGGGAGGGCCCCTGCTCCTTCACACCCAGCAGGGAGGGCCCCTGCTCCTCCACACCCAGCAAAGAGGTCCTGAGGTCATTTTTATCAGATGATAAATGAGCTTCTATGTTCTGTACATCAGATAAAGAGGATCCAGCATCCTTTTTACTCGTTAAAGAGGGTCCTAATTCCTTTGCAGCAGACAAAGAGGGTATTAATTCCTTTCCATCAGATAAAGAGGGTCCTAATTCCTTTCCATCAGATAAAGAGGGTCCTAATTCCTTTGCATCAAATAAAGAGGGACCTAATTCCTTTGCATCAGACAAAGAATGTATTAATTCCTTTCCATCAGATAAAGAGGGTTCTAATTCCTTTACACTAGATAAAGAGGGTCCTAATTCCTTTGCATCAGATAAAGAGGGTCCTAATTCCTTTGCATCAGATAAAGAGGGTCCTAATTCCTTTGCATCAGATAAAGAGGGTCCTAATTCCTTCGCATTAGATAAAGGACCTAATTCCTTTGCAGCAGATAAAGAGGGTTCTAATTCCTTTGCATTAGATAAAGAGGGACCTAATTCCTTTGCAGCAGATAAAGAGGGTCCCAGTTCCTTTACACCAGACAAAGGGGGTCTTGGTTCCTTTGCAACAGACAAAGAGGGTCCCAGTTCCTCTATATTAGGCAAAGGGAGTCCTAGTTCTTTTACAACAGACGAAGAGGGTCCTAGATCCTCTGCACTAGGCAAAGGAGATCGTAGCTCGCCGCTTCCCAGGAGGAGCTTGCCAGCACGCTCATCTGGTGAGACGGGCGCCTGGAATGAGAGGAGGAATAATGAAAAAGATGAGATGAACTGTGCGTAGACATGAAGCCCATACGGCTTATTGGGGTCAACACCCGGCCTTTTTATCCAGGTTCCAACCCATAACAGTTGTCTATCTCCCAGGTACCTATTTACTATGAGATGAACATAAGCATCAGGTGTAAGGAAATTCGGCCAAACGTCTTCCCCCGCCTGGGAGACGAACGCAAGGCTCTTTCTTATTTGGCTTAGGACGGGCGGCAAGCCTGCTATGTCAACACACCTCGCAAAATTTAAGAAAACGTGTCCTAGAGCACGGGCAGACTTGAGTAATGTGAGCTAAAGTCGTGACAATGTGTGAATTGATGAAGCATCTTACCTTGGTAACGGAGAGGAGAGATTTGCTAGATTGCTGCTGCTGCCGATCCCGCGGTTCCTGCTGTTGCAGCTCTTCCTTCTGTTGCTTCTGCTGTTCCTTGTGTTCCAGGGGCTTGTTGTTGGTGAGTTGTGGTCCCTCTCCGCTGCCAGACATCTCCTGTAAGGACATTGCGCATCAACACGTATTACTCCCTAACATGAGGACAAACAAACCAACAGAGACCTGAATACACTGCTGGAATTAAGGTCGCCGAAGCCATTTCCTCTGGAACTTCGGTAGTCAACAATGAACGCTTTCTCTTGAGTACAGTTGTGTGGTCTTAGAGGGACGGTGGCGAGTGTCTGGTGGTGGAAGCAGTAGGAGAAGGCAAGAGGAACGTGGTGACAGTAGCTGAAAGTAGCAGATAATGTTGGAGAGTAGTAGATCTCAGTTGAGAGTAGTAGATCGCGGTGGAGGAGAACTAGATCATGGTTGAGGGTAATAGATCGCAGTGGAGCATAATACTAAGAAACAAATGGAGGAGGGGATGAAAGAGAACAAGGGGCAAGGAAGGCAGTGGGCAAGAGAGCGTAGGGCACTTACCGCCCTGGCGCGCTGGTTCATGACCAGGGTGAAGGTGGTGGTGGTGGGCATAACCAAGAAGGCGGAGAGGGTGAAGTCCTGGAGTGCCTGCAGGTGTTGGGGATCCTTGACGTTGGAGAGGTCCAGGGCTAAGCGCGCCCCCTCCACCACCCCCACCAACACCACCTCCACCATCACCAACAACACCTCTATCATTACCACCCGTCTCATCTCACCTGAAAGAAACGCACGCAATTCAGGTATGTTTTATTGCCTGTCACCACTTTCTCTCCCCTAGCACTATATTAGGGCTGTGTTAGTGTGTTTGTGTTGCTGTCTTTGTCTGTGTTAGTGTGTTGGGGTTATATTAGTGTGTGTTGGTGCTGTTTTAGCCCCAACACGTTAGCCTATGTTAGCCTGTCCACAAATGTGGTAATCTCACAGATGTTAACAACTACAGACCTATATCTATCCTGCCAAACTTGTCAAAAATTTTTGAAAAACTAATCTATAAGCAGCTTTACTCATATCTAGCCAAACTCAATATACTTAGCCCTTGCCAATATGGCTTCAGACCCAAAAAAGCACTAACGATGCACTTATTAGTATGCTTAACTCGATTCATACAGCTCTTGATAAAAATGAGTTCTCTGTTGGGTTGTTTGTGGACCTGCGTAAAGCTTTTGACACTGTCAACCACCAAAACCTTCTTCTTAAATTACATCATTATGGAGTCAGAGGACACTCCCTACAATACCTCAAATCCTACCTTACTGACAGGCTCCAATATGTTTCTGTGAATAATACAATTTCTCCCACCCTACCCATCAACATTGGTGTTCCCCAGGGCAGCATACTTGGCCCTCTCCTCTTTCTCATCTACATTAATGACCTTCCAAATGCCTCCCAACACCTCAAACCCATTCTATTTGCTGACGACACAACCTTCATTTACTCCAGTCCTGATCCCCTTGCTCTAAATGCCACAGTAAATACTGAGCTAAATAAAGTCCATCTGTGGCTAACTGCCAACAAACTCACCCTTAACATTGACAAAACCTTTTATATTCTGTTTGGCAATAAATCCTCTAATCAAATAAATCTCAAAATAAACAATACCCAAATTTGTAACAAATTAGATGGCAAATTCCTTGGCATTCTCATTGACCACAAGCTGAATTTCCAGGGACACATTCTAAACATATCAAAAAGAGTTTCAAAAACTGTGGGCATTCTTTCTAAGATCAGATATTATGTACCACGCCCTGCCCTGGTGACTCTCTATTACTCCCTTATCTATCCATATCTCAACTATGGTATTTGTGCTTGGGGCTCTACTACCCAAAATCACTTACGTCCTCTAATTACTCAACACAAAGCTGCTATTAGGACAATATCCAATTCTGGCCCCAGACATCACTCGGTACCCCTACTTAAATCTCTGAATATGTTAGACATTAAGTCACTGCACATTCTCTCATGTGTATTATACATATATAAAACGCTAAACTATAATGCCAATCCTGATCTCAAAAGCTTCATAGAAGGTTGTATCAGAACCCATGAGCATCACACCAGAAATAAATACAGTTTTGATATTCCTAGAGTACGACTTAATCAAACTAGAAATGCTCTACAAATCAAGGGGCCCAGAATGTGGAATGACCTTCCCAACCATGTTAAAGACTGTACCTCTCTCAACCAGTTTAAGTTAAAAGCGAAGCTATACCTAATAAATTCCCTGTAACCTACCTTACCCTTCTATTGTCAACCAATGTCTGTTTTTTTCTTTAAAGAGCGCTGTTTGTCGACATAATTGTATTTGTGCTGCTTTTTCATCTATGTTTTCATTTCTTGTTTTCATTCTACTCATTATGTTCAATTAGTATTAAGCTTGTCATTTAAGTTTATCATGCCCGAAACGCTTTGCGTAATAGTGGCTTTAGGCATTGTATGTACTAGCTATACCTATAAGTTAAACAATCCTTGTAAATATTTATTGTATGTATGTACCTTACCTAAATAAAATTGTATTGTATTGTATTGTAAGGTATGTGTGTTAACACTCTGGTGGTGTATGACAGCGTGTCAGAGCGCCCTTGCACGCATCAACACAAACAATAACAACCATTGTATCACAACAAACAACACTAAACAACACAGTTACACTTTACCAAGAAGTGTTCTTCCCCTTTGAGGCTCTGGCGCAGCCGTCCGCTCCACCACAAGTCGAACTTCATATTCCGAAGGTGGAATACACCATCATAAAGGTGATGTAGGAACACTACTGGGATAAGCATTTAGAGTTTCAAGACTGTGAGTGGTGAGAGAGCAAGGCACTTCACTTGAGCCCCATTCCAGGTTGCCAAGGGCCTGTGGGAACCTGGAATGGGTTCCCACAACCTGGAATGGGTTCCCACACCCTGGAATGGATTCCCACAACCTGGAATGGGTTCCCACACCCTGGAATGGGTTCCCACACCCTGGAATGGGTTCCCACACCCTGGAATGCCCCAAGCAGCCTCAACATCACTCCCCGGCTGCTTGGAAACTCGGGTAAAGGTTCAGAAACCTGTGAGTGTTATCGAGGTCCTGCTAGGACAAGGACTTACCTTCCCCGAGGTGCAGCAACCCACAACAGTCAACTAACTCCCGGGTATCTCTTTTACTGCAGATATATCAGGAGCAAGTAAACCATTCCAAACCTCCTGTCTAGAAATCGAACTCAACTGCTTGATTAGCGTGCTAATCACTGTTTATTTAAAGGGTGGCAATATAAATGGCATATCAGCGCTCTTTTGTTTGTGAACTGTGATCATAAAAAAAGAGAGAAGCAACGTTTCGTTTGTCTACTGTGCTAAAGTCTGCGAGCGCTTTGTCCAGGGTTCGTATCCTGGCCGGGGAGGGTTGACTTGGCGTCAATCCTTAACTGTAGCCTCTGTTCACCCAGCAGTGAATGGGTACCTGGTTGTTAAACAATTTGGCGGGTCGCATTCCAGGGAACATAGGATTAAGAACCTGCCAGAAACGCTACGTGTGCTAGTGGCTGTACAAGAATGTAAGAACTCTTGTATATACTTATAAATTCGAAATCTTAATATTATTATTGACATTTTTACTGTACCTTGGTAAATATTTCCCGTGTTAATATTAAGATAAAAGAGTGTTAAACATGTGTAAACTTTGCTAGTCTTAACACTCGGTGTTTAATTAAACATGAGTTATGTTTTGGCGGGAGCGGGGCGGCGGCGGCGAGAGGCGGCCGATGCTTTTTCCTCGCGTGTTGAAGGCTGCAATATTTTGTGTTAATGTTTGGTGTCGCTGCATGCTACGGCCTGCTTCTGCAACCACACCACCACCACCACAACCACACCTCCACCACCACCACCACAACCACACATCCACCACCACCACCACAACCACACATCCACCACCACAACCACTACATCACATCACCACCACAACCACTACATCACATCACCACCACAACCACTACATCACATCACCACCACAACCACTACATCACATCACCACCACAACCACTACATCACATCACCACCACAACCACTACATCACATCACCACCACAACCACTACATCACATCACCACCACTTCACATCACCTTATCACCATCACCACATTACCCCGCCGTAACACTGGGGTTCGAGGAGACACGCCTGATATATTCTCGTTGGACAGAAATAAAAGAGAAGAGCAGGCAGACTGCATATTACAGGACTGCCAGAAAGTCATCAACACAGCAGACTAGTGTACAATTAGGAACAGCAGACATTAATACGAGGAAAGGTGCTCCTGTGGATACAGGAGCACTTCAGCAACGGAACACAGAGCTGCAGTAAAGTGGTATATGTGGTACTGTAAATATATTCCACCCAACAACGAGAGGTATATCAGACCTTTTTTTAATTACGGCATCATGTGGAGTACTTGTCTCCTTAACACAAGAACCAAGTTAAGAATTACTTGAAATTCTTAAGAATTACGAAAAATTGCAAAGGTCCATACGTGGCAGCTCCTATTTATACCCACCCAAACTCATTCATATATATGTCTAACCTACGCTTGAACCTATCCAACGATCCACCGGTCTATTATGAGGCCCTTCAGTTTGTTTACAAAATTAATAACCCTGTTTTCGAACCAATTTTTATCCAGGTCTACAAGGAAAAAAAGCAAGTTGTACAAGAGTATAAGTCTGTAGTGCGCTTCCATTTGGATTACTGTATTCAAGCATGGAGAAGCACAGAGCTGTTCTGGTGCAACACCGGGCAACAAAAATCATTCCAGAGCTAAGTCAACTCATGTATCAGGAGCGGTTGAGGTCCACGGAGCTAACAACACCACAAGCCAGGCATGACAGGGCGGATCTCATCAACACTTTCAAAATACTGAACAATTTGGTGGATATTGACCCGGACAATGTCTTCAGAAGGTCTCAGATGTAACACAAACAAGGAGCAACAGTCGCCAGCTCAACAAGCCACAATGTTGGACTGAGAACACCAGATGTTTCTTCACCCACAGGGTTATTAACCCATGGAACCGCCTACCCGCCCAAGCCGTCAATACCAAAACACTTCAATTTTAAAATTCAGCTCGACAAAATCATCAGGGGCAAATGGAAGGGGAGGGGGAACCTTTGACTAGCCGCAGGCTTCCTGTCCTCGTCGAGGTCACTAGAGAGATAGTGGCCCCCAAGTAAACAAATAATATAAGGACTTTAACCAGTATTTACCCAGGTCTTTAACCAGTATTTACCCAGGCCCTGAAACCCTTACTCATAGCTGCCAATACGAAGCTGGAGAAGTATGTAACCAGACTAGCACCACACCTGAGAGGTATGCGTTACGGTGAAAGACTAAAGTAATAACACCTTACGCCACGAGGAAGCGAGGAGATATGATCACCACATTCAAAATACACAGGAGAACCGACTGCGCTGACGAGCACAGGCTATTTAACATGTAAGGTGCAGCAACAAGGGAACACAGGTGGATACTAAGAGGCCCAAGAACGCTCTTTTAAATGTGAGAATTGTGAACAAATGTAATACAGTAAGAAGGTGGAAGAGGTGAAGGCAGCGTCTGGGATGCTCCCACACATAGGTTCGAATCCTCGTCACGGCCCTTGTGGATTTGTTCAGGTGGAAGAGGACTCCAAACACAGCTTCAAATATGCACTCGGTAGACCAAAACAAACTCGAGAACCT